AGGGGACAAAAAAGATCAAGACAAGAAGACCAGAATCAGATGTTCGCAAACACCGTAGTAGTTAGCATGTCACAAAAAAAAAATGAAAGCACCGGGAGGCGAAAAGGAACGAACCAACCTCGGACAAATGTCAAATTTCCCATCCGGATGGTACCAATACTAGGATATCATCATGGGGATCAATGAATGTGTAGCGCTGTCAACAACCTGAATCATCAAAACTTTGATGTACTCTGCACAAAACAGAGTAGTAGTGATGGTGATGAAAGGGCAACGGGTTTCCTGAACATCTCGAACGGGGTAGTCGGTCTGTGTGTGTGTGTGCGTGTGTGTGGCAACGGGCTTCCTGGTGATGAAAGGGCAACGGGTTTCCTGGTGATGAAGGGGCAACGGGTTTCCTGAACATCTCGAACGGGGTAGTCGGTCTGTGTGTGTGTGTGTGTGTGTGTGTGTGTGTGTTTTTTTTTCCTTAATATGACACAACGAATCTATCTCTATCATTAGTCTATCTTTTTACAAACATATATCCGTTCGCAAGGCGGGGGAACACAGCAGTGGATATCTCAAACGGGTAGTATTTCTATGTTGTTTGTATATAGTTTTCCTAATATTCCATTAGCAAAGGGGAAGGCAGAGACCCGTGTCCCTTGCAACGAAAAAAATAGATGCAGAAATTACTAAATTATTTGGCTATATTCTAATCTGAAATCAACTAGGGCGTCATTCGAACAGGTGAAAATACGACGCTTTTTGTTCTGAAAATAAATACAACGGGCTGTGGGTCAGGTGAAGAGCAACTTTCTTTGCACATCACTCCCAGCCCCACACCACACAACCCCACCGTAAGCCTCCCATTGTGCGCGGAGCAGCCGGCATTCGGATCCCTGTGGCGCCATACCATAAATATATATATATTGCAACTCCGCCAAGACTTGAGGCAAGACGGGAAGGCTGTGACGAGTTCGTGCAAAGTTGTTCCTCCAGTTTCACCTCGCGGGCGGCTGGGACATTCTCGCTGATCGTTGATATCCAGGTGGGTTATTTTTTCACGTGTTTGTTGTACTCCAGGTAAGATGTCCACACCACTTCTCCACACGGAGAAGATGCTAACCACTACTCGCTGGATGCTCTACGACATGATTTTTCGACATGGTCTCAACAAGATTGCTCGGCGCATTATTTGAGGGACAACAACAGGGACGTCAACCATCCATCCATGCATTATATCTCTTGTTTTTTGCTGTTTGCCCACCACACCGAACAAGACAGGAAAAACGCTATAACCTGATAAAAGACTGCTATACCCTGATTACCGTGCACGCTGTATACCAGTCTTCTTATCTAATGCGTCACTGATGGTACGACAACCCAACGGGATCAAATGTCGCATTTGTAGATTTCAAAAACGGCGGGGAAGAGCCTCTCCTCGTGAAATTCTGAAAGCTGTAAGCTTCAACCTCTCCGACCTAGATCCTTTTTTGTCGCAGACCGACCCTCTTATTTCCATTCCCCCACCCTTGCCCGACCGTGTCTCAAGAGCCGATCTCCACCTATGGCGCATGGCTCGCGACATCTCGAGTATGCCTCGGTAGGGCATCCAGCGCTAATCATGGCCAGTCGTCAAGTTTGAATGACTTCCGCGTGCAGTAGAATAAGTCACAAGTGTGCGGTCGTGTGCGACCATGCGCGCTGTTTCTCTCTCGTCTTTCTCACTGGTTCAACTCCTTGCTATCCTTATCGCTCTGTTTGGAATAATGTTTGAATCTCATGGTGAGCTTGTTAGGCAGAATCAACAGACCTGGGTCGACCTCCAGTACGGCGCACGTCCCGCGATATCTCGAGAATGCCTCCCCTCGCCCAGTTTCGTAGTCATTTTTTTGCGTACAGTAGCGTACGCCACAAGGTTGCGGCCATTTGCGACCATGCGCGCTACAAGTAGATACTGCTGTAGTCTCTCGTCTTCACCGCGCTTCATCGCTCTGTTTGTCTTCTCGACCAAGCAAGGTTCGGAGAAAGCAAATCTTACTGTCTGATTGACACCAGCCAACAGACCGATGTCGCCCTACGGGGCACGCCTCGCGATATTTTGAGGATGCCTCGATAGGCATCGTGATTCGTGGGTCCTCGCCAAATTTCGTAACCCTCCGAGAGCAGAAGCACGCGCCACAAAAGTGTATGTGACCGGGTCCTCTCCTCTGCACCGATCTTGTTTTCTTGTCGACCCATTTCGGGAAAAAATCGAATTGTCAGTGTCCGCTTGGTGGTAACAAACGCAACGGCATCACGTGTGTCTATTCATTGCAGTAGTGGTGGTTTAGCATTGTGCATAGGCCAGCACTGCTGTGCCACCGTATGCATTCATGCGAACTCTCCATCGTTTGATTTTATGCAGAAGTTCGGCAGGTTATGAATCTCAAGGGTCCTTGCTGCGTCATAATCATCCTGCATCATCAGTAGAAATGTGCCAGGTGTACAAACGTGTAAACAGCGCATGTCGAGATAGGATGAGATTCATTTTCATTCATTCCACGTGTGTCCCAGCAATATATGACATCACACACACCATCACGAAACGGACCGTCCGTGTGGTTGTGAACCCCAATTATCATCACGCGGGGGTGGGGGCGGTGCCACATCTTGTGCAATCTACGGTCAATACATTCAATAATTCAATTTGTCACGAGCATCGCAAGCGTGCACGTGCATTCACGTTAGCGCAGCAGTAGCCAGAAGCTCGTCAGCATCTCAAGAACGAGGATTTTAGCATTGCGGGACTTGCCTCTTGATTGTAAATCTCAGTATGAATATCGGTGACCTCACCTGACCTTACCTACCCAACACTGCTGTGAAAGACATTGCCCTGGTTGATCTACAGTACTGTACCCCTTTTTCTAACAACTCGTGAATTACGGGGTGGACGTTTGTGTGACCCCCGAGCACAAGTATCCATGAGCGATACCACAATTGCGATTTAATGTATGTACGCGTCAAACCTGTTCGACTGCTCAATCTCGGTATGATTTTTGTTCACCTCACCTGACCTTGCCTGCCCAACACTGTGAAAGATATTGCCCTGGTTGATCTACAGTACTGTACCCCTTTTTCTAACAACCCGCGGATTACGGGGTGGTCGTTTGTGTAAATCCCGAGCACAACATCATGAGCGATACCACAATTGCGATCTAATGTACCCGTCGAACCTGTTCGACTGTTCAATCCGCACAGCGGGGCTGCTGCTGGTCAGGCGGCAGGTGTTGTTGTTGTCGTTGCTGTTGTTGCCTCGATGAAATCCTTCGCGTAATCTTCTCATTCGAACCGCTTGGGGCAAATCATGTGAAACCGTACAAGCGCTTGTTGTTGCTGCCGCAAGTTTCCTACAGCAGTAGACTATATGTGTCTCGGAGTCTTGGTATTGGCATGAATCTGACCATTAGGTCTGACCCGAGCGGAGTCGACGCTTGTCCCCGCACGGATCGGAGCAGATCAGTCTATATATTGTAACCGACAAATATATTACCGTGCATCACACCAACACTGTCTACGCAGTATTCGACGATACGATTCGATCTCCTCGCCTGGCGTGTAAGTCTCCATCCACAGCAGGTCGTAGTGTAATGAACATCGGGTGTTTTCAGTCACAGGCAGCGGACGATGCATACCTCGCAGTTCACGAGCTGACCTGTGGCACTTCGTCCGTCCTTCAGGTCACAACCTCTGACCAACCCTTTGAAATTTCATTCAGCACACGACCTGCCGTGTGACGACTTCAGCATGTCCTGATCTGATCTGCCCTGACAAAGATAAACTCCTCCAAACTGCCCTGATCATCCATTTGACGTTTGACAGACACCAATATGGCCAACTGCAGGCCTTCGCACCTGCCCTTGAACTGCCCAGCGATATCTCTCTTTGTTGACCCGTGCAATAACGGTTCGTGGTTGAAATCTCTTGGGACCCATTGGGACGAACAGATTTGACCCGTTCAAACCGCCGCACGCGCAGGCTGCTACCCCGGCGGCTGCTACTGCTGCCTTAACGTGGATGATCTTGCAAATTTCATTTGCTCAGGACTAAAACAGGGTTTATCAAGGTTCACACATGACGGTTTGAGACAGACCGGTTGACTCCGAGGTTCCACCTGCATTTTCACTACAAGTATATGCTTCTCTCGATCAGAACTGTCGTTGCCCCCACAACCTGTACAAATACACTAAGCATAGAACATCTATGGTATGGAGCTGATCTTGTACGGCCAGGCTCAAGCTTCCCTTCAGATAACATGTTTCCGCGTTTTCCCTTTTGTTAGCTTTTTGGCAGGAAACGCCTACAATATGATGAACGCGGGTTCGCTTTGGAGATTCCCATAAAAACTCACGACAACTCATGTGTGTGCTGCTGTCGAATGACCCCACGTGCTCGCAGTTCAGCAACCCGACCTTCACAAGGAATTATGGAGGCGAGGCGAAACGGTCGGCCGTTGACTGCTCTAGCGGTTTCTCTGTTGTCACTTTCGAGCTGCCGGCCGGTGCTTGTTGGAGCCGATGACACCCTCAACGGCGTTGTCAGCGCGGCGTTCGGTAATATTCACATGCGAAAGAATGTCACTTAGCGAAGTGCCTTACGCAGCGAAGAATTCCAACCCACGGGCAGCAGAAGAGGTTTCATATCCCAGTGGTAATAGGGCGTGCAAAAGACCCGTAGCTCACCCAATGCTTGGTTGTCCTAGCTCTATCTCCTCCTGCAGGGAGTGCGTTTGCACTGTTGGAACGCGAAATGAAATGAGCCGACAGGCCGGCACAACTGTCCGGCAGAAATATTTGTTCACTCCGCTTTCAAGCGAAAACATAACGCAAGCGTATGGCGCGACCCGAGAGCTCGGACGAGTTCCCGGTGTTGGTATCGTTTTTTGGGAGGCTAACCTACACCGTATTGAATTCGTGGTTGTCCTAGACTGGTTGATGTTACCCACAGGCCATTGGATCCTGAATTTGTTTTACATAATGTTGAACATTTTGTTGTCGGCGGCAGATTTCGCTGGCCAGCAGCTGACGGTCTTGAAGGATGACGTCCTTGTGGAGAACTACATTTTCACATCCTACACAGATGAAGACGGACAGGTACGCGAAGGCCAGAATACATTGGGATCACAAGAGCTTATGCCACACCCTACTGCGACATGCGGTGCCTCCCGACTCATCACACTCTGTGGGTTTGTTGTCAGCCACGCGATACGATAACCACTACCCTCACTCTTTTCCGCTACCTGCTACGCGTTGTTCTCCGAATGAAGTGGATCACGGTCAAAGATAACGGAGATGTCATCGACCTCACCGTCTGGACAAGGTATGTCGTACGACGCCAATACTTGACACGGTCGAGACAATTTCCCTGTGACATAATTAGGGCTCATACAATCATCGCAGACTTCTCATCCAGGGTCGGTCGCGTGTCGTCTCTATCGAACAGGTGTTGTGAACACATTTCTGTCTTGCCTCTGTATTGTGAAAATGTCCTATTGCACAAGCAGTCTCACGCCATTCCCAAGTATGTGTCATCATCCTCATGGAAACGGGCTCCCTGCGCCCCGGCTTGTTTCTGCGCCTCTCGGCTGTCACTTACAGTGGCATGGTGGCTGGCATGTTCTGGTACCAGTACGAAGCTACGGGGCAAAACATATGGCGGGTGAGCGGATTTAACGCGTGTGTTTACGTAAGGTAGAGCGCTTTTTATCCAGACGGCGGTATGACGATGAAGCGATAAAGGTATGGGCTACAGCATAGCAACTTTGACGCCTACAATACGTAGACTTTCCCTAAAATGTTGACAGAATGAGCAATGACAGAGGCTCACTACGGTCGACCGCCGACCAACACGAAACGTGGTGACTACGTCACACCCAAGCACAATCACACACCCATTAAAAGAACGTATCCAATCCCTGCTGCGTGTATGCTTCACGTCACCGTCGATTTCTGCTGTGAATACAGACCTATGCGGAGGACATGCAGGAAGGCCTGGAGGGAGTCGAGCTCCTGGACGACAACGACCTAGGATTTCAAACGCTCAACTCGTTTGGACTGGGGTACAGGCTCGTCGGCACAAGCTCATTCAAGGACATAACCTTATCTGGAGCACAGTCCCTGTATGACTACCGCTACGTGGTACGTTCGCCCCCCGTCTCTTTTCGTAGACGTTTTCAGTGACGCTGCGTGGGTGTGACTATCTGATTTCCGGGTTCTACCTCCTTCTTGGCGGAATCAAACTTCGTGTGGCCATAGCGAGCTGGCTGAATGGAACCGGCAACGCCCCATTCGATAGTTTTCATCGTGTAGAAACCAAGAACGTATCTGCAAGCATATATCGCACAGGCAGCAGTTAGTGTTTTTTTGACAACCTCCCACCTGGCGGTAGATTTTGTATTCCCGGCCCTTATATATCAGTGCTCGATGCCTTGCCCGCCGCCGCCCTCGTTCCAGAGCAATATTCCAGCGTTCTGGTCGTGGGCAAACCCGAAGAGTGAGCCACAGTGGGAGCGGGCCGTCAACGTGGACATGATCATGAACATGGAGATCATGCTCTGGGCCGCCGTCAATGACGGAGACGCCGAGTACTCCGATGCCGCAGAAAAGTGAGACGAGCCTAACGCTTGGATATCTTGGGCAAAAGTCGGCTTAGACGTCTCGCTGGCAAGCCGTATTTGATGACGCCGTGTGCAAGTTGCCGACGTAGTGCCAAAGCATGGGGTCTTCATCAACATTTTTTTTTTCTTGCGGTCCTTTGCCGTCGATTTTTAAGGAGAGAAGAGTTCAGCACACTCTTCCCTCTGTGTACACACGAACTAGCGCTATCCACTAGGCCAGAAGCGAAAGCGAGAGAAAAACCCAACTTGCAAGAAACGCTCGCTTACGCCGGGATTCGAACCCCTGACCTGACCTGTAGAAGGTTCCAAGGGTACCAACTAGACCACCGGGGCGACCGGACAATGGTGGAAAACGTACCTTTTGACCAGTGAGCATCCAACGCCGGAGGCCTCCAGCACCACGAAAGATTCCGATGCATGAGTGCCTTTGATCCAGGTGAACGTGACTACTGCTGTAGTCGTCTTTCCGCCAGGAAAAAATAATGCCACCCACATTTCGCCCATCGCTAGATTCGCTCGACCAATTATCCATCCGTGTCTCGCTCGCAGCCACGCCGACACCACGTGGGCAGACCTTGTAAGGGATGACTACAGCACGTTCCATGTGGCGGACTACAACAAATCGACGGGGGAGCTAGTAGACAAAGGTAAGGCTGACAAGACGATGTGAACGATCGGTATATCCAATTGTTGATGGGTGTTTTCTCTGTCGTCTCCGCTGGCGCAACCAAGGAGCCGCGGTGGTACATAGGTAATTCCGTCGCCAACAGGCCTGAGAATGGCTCTCCTGCATACAGAAGAATATTCTCCCCTCTAGGTATGAGATGCCATGCCTGTCTCAACCGAGATCGTCATAGCGATCCGGAAAACATACAGATGCTGCCGGCGCCGCAATTCTCTATCCTCCTTGTGTAGATGCCCATGCCTCCGAGTTGACCTACGGGGAGATGCCTTTCTTACGACACGAAGACACGAAGAGGCATACCGTTAGGACAATATCAAGTGATTGTCGATCGTGTGTTCTTGTTGCGTTTGGGGTTGTTGCTATGTTAATGTTGCTCTTGACCGTTCACACCATCCCCCCCCATCAAACCTTCCCGCCTCCGCTGGAATAGTTGCGACCACGGAGGCCTCTGCTTGCTCTATTTTGTGCACGATGATATCCCCGACTTCGGTCAGAGATTCCCGGTGATCGTTTTTCGCCAAAAATATGCTGATCGCCTTCTGGGATTACCCTGAGGTTTTTTTCAGCGAAAACTCATGCTGGACTTTACCGTCTTTACCGTCAAGGTACCGGATTTCTGCGAACCCGACAAAAATATCCGATCGAAAATACGTTCGGCACCGATGACCAAGATCTATGCCGACGATGGCCTACTGGGGCCGTTGTTGGCCGCCCTTTCGTCAAGCAAACGCCCCCCCCCAAGGCATGAAGCGTGTCGTGCTGTGAATAAACCTCTTCGTGCGTGGCAAGCCGGGACGGGGCGTCCTTTGTCGTCTTGATACAGAAACGTCTATCGAGAGCGCCCCCCATGAGATTGATTCCCCGGAACCCCACCGGCGATGGTTCGGGAGCACCCGTTTGTAGAAAGTTGTGAGTAGCTCGCAACACCAGATCCCGAAACAAGTATCATGTGTAAAGGAAACGACGGTTTTTGTCAATACAGAGCCCGTACAAGGTGTGATCTGGAAAGCAAGCATTCGTCCATTAGTACCTGTCGATATTCCGACCACACCTTGTACGTTCGTCACATGTTCTTGTACATTCTCTCCGCAGGCACGTACCAGGGGTGGCAAGACGACTCTACTTGGTCCAGGGGGCAGGCATGGGCCATCTACGGCTTCATCATGGTACACCGCTATCTCCAGAAGCCGAGGTTCCTGGACTATGGCATCAACACCCTCAGGTAATAAACCCCACAACGAGTAGACTCAAAGGGGGCGCGTTCGTCAGGTAATTTCACTCCCCTGCTTCAGAAACGATGGATTGGTGGAGGGGATAGGAAGGCCGACCGGGCACGTTGCTTGCGGTTTCTGGTTCTTTACACTATGCAAAAAAAAATTGACCACTGCCTTGCCAAGTACCTGATGACGCGTCTTGGTCTTAACACTCGTGACAGCTACTTCGTCGACAACCTTCCCGACGACAACGTGCCCTACGCCGACTTCGACGCTCCCGTGGACTCGGACAACCCCAAGGATTCGTCAGCCACGGCTATCGTGACCTCCGCCCTCTTCGAACTCTTCGAACAAACCGGTGAGCGTAGGTGGCATGATTCATGCCAGAACCGGACCTGGTCGTGCTGTATTGGATGCCAAACGTTGATAATACAAATGACTCGGTTTGTTTTGCTCTGGGTGCTTGATTTTCCCTTTGTTCAGTGGCACTCTGTCTCCGTTCCACCGCAACACCCTACAATCCCACGCAGCCATGTCCTCTTCATATACCTCCACAGGCTGCGGTATGTTTGGTTTTACTTTGCTGCCGCGAGGGCGCACTACGCGCACCTCCCCTTCCAACACCTCTCTTGGTTTCCCTGCCGACGAAAAACAGGAGAACCGAGCTACCTCGAGAAGGGCCAGGAGTTCTTGTCTTCGCTACTGTTATCGCCCAACTACTTCGACTCCTCGGCAACCGACGGGTGGCAAGCAATCCTCAGAAACTCGGCGGCAGCATGGGGTGATGCGGCGGTGGGCTCCGTCACCGCGGACTACTTTCTCCTGGAATCGATGGTGAGTGGCATTGCTTCCCACGCATGATTCGGACGCCTGCTTGTTGCGATGACCGTGTTTCTTTTGTTTCTGGCGAAGCCAACCACTGCACGGTACACGGTAGGTTGAGCGCGAGCGGGGGATACTGGAAAGCAGGTATCGCCAAAACATGTGCACATGTCGATGTTTACCTTCTTGCAATCACTCTCCCAGACCTCTGCCTGTGGCAACAGGGAGGACATCCCGAAACAAGAGTTGGTATTTTGAAAGGTGCGGATGTCACGCCCGTGCCCCGTCCCAACACCAAATAACTCTTTGAAATAGACCGGGGTCAACTTTCGCATTGGCGCACAAGAAAATTCGTAGCCACACACGGCCGGACATGTTTGCACCGGAACGATCAACACGAGTTTGTAGCCTGATGTTTTCGAGCGTGTCACTGAGTTTTCCGAGCCGTGTTCTCTTGCCACCCTATTCGTTGGTGCTGACGTCAGGTCCGGTACCAGACCATGTCCCCTTCCATCATTCTGCGGAACGAGACGGAGGTCAGTATCACCGACACCCAGCCATCGGTCGAATTCTCCGGAACCGCTCTCGACAACGACGTTGACCTCTCCGGGCTATCGGCAGACTCTCCCGTCATCACTTGGTGAGATGTCGAGATTCGACGAAACGAAAGGGAGAGTTTGTCCACAACGACGGCTAGCTCACAAAAATGCGTTCTTCGGGGAGTGCAAGCGTTGATGTTCTCGTGCAGACGTATCTTGCCCATGCTACTCGACATAACTCGAAGCCTCCAACGCCTTCCTCGGTGGAATATCGGAGTATGAAGCTGGATAATACGTACGTGCGCGATACTTCAGAACCACAGTTTGCAAAATCAGCTCTCGCAAGAAGTGTGTGCCTAGACCTTCCATTTGTTCAATTCCGGTACCGCTCATCAGGTGGGACCTTGAGTGACGACGTGCCGAGTCTCGAAAATATTCCCCAAGCACTTCGCCCTTGTGGGGGTATCAATCGCAGCACAGCTGACGTGCCATTGCAGGTCCAATTTTGTATGTTGCGCCGTTCGACCATTGTTCAACAGAAATACCTAATCGACTCGTCCTCGGCCGTTCAACCAGGCTCGGGGTGACGCTGACCGACGCCGGATACGTTCCGGAATCGCTGACACTCGGGAGCGGTTCGGCGTCCGTGACGGTGGACATTGAACAGCCCGACGGGGGCTGGAACACGGGGTCAAACGGGTGAGAAACCTTGACACGAAGTTTTGTTTGATTTGGCCGTGGAGAGTAGGTATACGAGTTTGACTGTCGTGGTTGGTAGCACTGGGCACCTTGTTGAAAGGCCGCAACGGTGACTTGTATCAATACCCCGGCAAAGACACGAAATACTCTCAGGTAGGAGGTTGGTCGGTGGATCTGAACGTCTTGTTGCCTATTGACTAGACTGACAGAACCTTTTCACGCCGTGTAATGGCGGCATATTCGGGTCGTCGCTGGCGCTAACAGAGTAAGCTCAGGGCGCCTGCCACACATCTCATCCCCCCCCCACCCCGCCCTTTTTCAACGCCGTCCTCCACGTCACCCTCACGTCGACTTGATCGTCCGTTCATTGTACAATGCCAGGGTTTCCTTCTCCGTGGCGGCAGGAACGTTCTCGGGGCTGTCCACCGTAGACAGCGTAACGCTCTCCTTCGGCCAGGTTTCGGCGGTAACCACGGCGGCGACCGTCGACTACCTCGTACTTGGACACCAACTGAACACGTGAGACACACCATGAGAGAGTGTGCATGATACTCGTGCCGAAACAAACGTCAGGCGTCACAGGACATCGCGGACGCACCGAGTCGAGCGGAGCGCGAATATTGACTCCACACGGTTCACGCTATGGTGTCTTGTCGACCATCATTATTCTCCGCAGACGCGTTAACTGTCGCCATCGCAGTTGCCCCGACTCGATACCTCTTCTTGATGAAATCGTCGGATTTACTATGAAGGTTTTATCGACACAGGTCAAAACCAATATCTAGACTCCCGGCGGCAACCCCGAAATCTCGCAACAAGCCCTGCGTAGATGTTCATAGAAAAGGTGGGATACGTAGAAATGCAAGACCGAAGCGAGTTCTGTTCATTCGTGTGAACCGTGACATTTATTCGCACTGCCATCTTCTGCACTCGACGTTTGATGTGATCGACAACATGTCAGATCGCTCGAGACTGGTGACGCTGGAGTTGTTGAGGCCTTCGATTCTGCGAGCGGTGAGTGAGCATCTATCTGCGTTCCGACACCACGGCCCACGTCCAGTCGCACGCCGATCAGAAATGGCCGATTTCCGGCTTCTACTTATTCCAAGGCGAATAAAAGAGGCCAGGGTCTGTGAGTCGACGTAGATTGCGTCCTCGCATGCTGCATCAAGCAGGAAACGAGGCGTATGAGCCTTGGTGAAATCGTTTCTCCTGGTAAGGTACTGTTCGAAGCGAACCTGATGTTCCAGTTGGTATGCAAAGGAGGGTGGCAGACGTCTGCGTTTATTCTTGCAGGGACACTACTCGGCAGGCACGACCGGCAGCAACAGCCTCGAAAGTAGGAGCATCCAACGCAACGCTTCCGCATACATGATACCTGCAAGAAAATGCCTCACACCTACGTTCGACGCGTTTCCCGAAAATCATGTGGTTTCCGGAAAGCAGTCACGACGTGCAGCAACGGCGTCCAAGGCATCGACGGTAACGGTATCGTGTGCTGTCCGATGGAATGTAACCAGTGCGGAGGATCCGGCTGCACCCATGCCGGCCGTGCGGCCGGTCTTGGCGCTGAGTCTTGCTGCGGGTCAGGGGTCAAGGCTAGCGGCAGGTACTGCGATGACACCGACGAAGCCCCGTGCATCATCGGCAGCTCTCCCGAATAGATCGCGGCATGTGCTACAACCCTCGGTAATGTCAGAAAGTGGTGAACGACATGCGACAGAGCACCTACCTCTGATCCGGCGCTTTCGCTGCCCGAAGCGTGGCACAACACGACGAACCTTGACGATCAACACGAGGGTGGAGCTGTGTCGGCAGTGATTCGGTCGCTTTGGGAACATACCAACCCCCACCATCTCGGGAACATCCCCGGTTCTTCGGCGGTGGGTTCGTCACGACGCAACATAGTTGTTACCTTTGGTCTTTGGTCTAGGTGAAACGGTTGTTGGCAAATGGCAACCCTCGTGAGCGCAGGCGGCCAATAATGACTGTGTAGTTTTTAGCGTTGTGTGCATGTGTCAATTTCAAGCCAATCCTGGTTGTATGCGAAGCTCCGATAATGTTCGAATGTAGTGTACGTGAGCGCCACGCCTCGCGAGAAAGAATGTTCGGCCGTCCGATGCAACAGATTCTACGCAAATTGACTGAATCGACGGTAGGTACGACAAGAGCGAGATGTTCTCGAAGTTCGTCGAGTTTTCCATCTGGGGGCCTTGTTGGATGTTTATGTCTACTCGATTTTTGTTTATGCATGGATGGGTACGTGCAACGTGATATACATGCGCTTGCGGTTGGTGCAGACTGTTAAAAGTGAAGATTCATGCATTCTTGGAGTAGCATGTACTGGGTTCCAAAGTATTTCCTGTCCCCGGTGCGAGTATTTTGAGCAACTCCTCCCATGCGGGAGTTCTATGTTCATTCCTGTGGCAAACGAGTACAACTGACCAAACCGTAGAAACTCAATTTGCAGGAAACGGAATTCTTTTTCATATTGTTGTGCGAGCCGGACTTCTACGTGTTGTCGTCACATGTGACATGGGTTGGTTTCGAGTGCTTGCAGCAGAGACTGCAGGCTACTGAGCATACTGCTTAGGTCTCGCTTGGTACGATAGGGCTCGAAGGTTCACCCCGATGGAGATGTGCAGGAGTTATTTTATTGTCTTAAAGACGGTTTCGCAAGAGTTTCGAAAACAAATCGAACTGGCAAAAACAGGTCAAGAGTTCACTCTTCAATTCATTCCCGAAAGAATCATCTGTATCGTAGAGCCGACCCATAGTACATTAACGGCCAAGTGTGAACAGAAAATTTGACACAGCTGTTTCAGGTGCCGACGCAGGAGCGCTCGTGTGTGTCATAGGTTTATTATGTAGATAGCCCATGCAGCTCCAATTGGCTCACTGGGGCCAGGCTCCGTCTCCCCACGTCGACGCACCAACAACTGCCGGCCCGCACAGTCCTCAAGGAGCCCACTGGCCACAGCCCCGACAACCGCGAACCAGCACGTCAACACCTTCACCACAGCCCATTCGCTGGTACGCCGAGCAACCAACTAAACTAGGTCTGGTTTCGCATCGAAGCGTTGGTGTAGTTGTGAAGCGGCTACCAGTCCGGTTAAGGCCAGCCCAAATGGATACTAAGATTGTCAATCACATAGGTTTTAAATCTAGTCTGCATTTCTAGTTTGCCTAGTCCATCGCAAAGGGAAACAAGAGCAGAAGAACACAACAGACTTTATAGTAGGTATGCTATGAAGTATAGTCTACACCGATCCCCCCTGGACAAAAAAAGAACAATCCAATCGGGAGATCGGAAAGAAGGGCGCCACGGAAAAAAACTCGAGGAGAACCAGTAGTTCTCCGCTCACGAGAACTCCTTGATTGACCTTCAATCCTCATCCACTCTCTGATGTCCTCGCTGTACACACCGGAACGAAGCACGACAGCAGTCGAAGCGGCGGCAGAGTGACGCACACTTCGAGACGATATTCTCACCATCTCCGGGAATCTACCACCAACCGTCCTCGGAGATCTCCCGCCGTTTCCGGGGGTGCTAACTTCGCTCCTGGGATGAATTGATAGCGTGCGATCCCCTCTCTCTCACTCTTCGAGCGGTCGACGAGCGAAGCTACCTCAACAACCAAAGTGAGTCCAGCAACTCCTGTTCCTCTACGTAGTCGGTCTCCCAAGACCACAATTACATCGTGAAACAACATGCATCAGGGTACACTTCCACTCTGTCATTGGTTTTTGGTGTATTGGCATTTGGCATTTTCGGGTGAATATAACAGTCCATGCAGTATTCCCTCTCAGTTTTCAGCACGGGGTCGTTGGGCAAACGTCCCGCAGTGCTACAGCAGTCTACCCCGCTCTCATCATATCCATGCACAGTTAGTTGCGGGAAATAGACGTCGTCAGCACTGCTCCTTATCCGGAGAGGGGACCACGCACCATGTGTCACCACGCGTCCAGTGGTCCAGTGGGACGTTTTTTTTACGTTCCCGGGCCATGATTGAACCGATGCCACTCCACAAATAATGAATTCTAACCCAGAACAACGTGCTCACTTGTCAGCGCATACACTCTATCCTTGAGCACGTGTACATCAGTATTGAGAGTAGGTTTACAGTAGATATATCGTGCACAGCAGGAGAGAGGGTTTCATGGGTCGTCCTGGTGGTGGTCGTGCCATGACGAGTGACTCTCCGCGGTCCGCCGTCGGACGGCATCGGACTGGCAGGGCGAAGAAGGCGTACGACCTGACGAAATGCACCATCCATCCAGGATGCGTGTATTCTGAGCGCGCGTGTACTGCATATAGTCCGCATCGGACGGGTCCGCGGTGACGCCTGTCGGGGTATACGTACGACGAGCTCAAAGCTGATGCCCTCTCCCCGGTATGTGTTTTCTTGGGGGGGGGGTTGCAGTTTTTCTCGAATATTGTTTTCGTCGCAAGCGGGGGCTGTGTGGCAGTAGTAGTGACTGTTGTTGCTTCCCCGTCACATACAGTCGAGTGCCGAAACCGCTCTGCTACGATGCACCCGACTCGTTGTCAAGCTCGATCTGCACACTTCACGCACAGCAGTAGAGTCTCTGTTGCGTTTTCTGATCGCTTGCCGTCATGGGTGCATCATGGGCTAGGTTTGGTGCTTCGTATGTGTGCAGTTGTCTGTTCTACCCTCCCTCGCGTAGTCCGTGTTGCCCTGTTACGAAGGTGCGTACACGTGTCGACCAACCAGTGCTTGTTAGGCTCGGTACCTTCGCGGCAGACCGACGCCCGCCATGGTCTCTCCCACACTTGTTTTTTTTAACGAAAGCACTCACACTCGCACTCGTTCTCACGCTCCTGTGCATTTCTGTGGGTGCTCCGCTGCCCCCAGTTCCCTCGTGATTTCCATCGCTCCCCAAACCTCACGGACGTTGTGTGGTTCTCTGTTGACATGGTTAGCTTCCACTTGTTTATTTTTCATGTTTGCTTGTTTCTTGCAGGCCGGTGGCAGGGGACCAGCGAAGACTCTCGTCACTGTTGACTTGGGACCTGACGGGAGAAGCGAGTAAAGCACTGGCCGTTCCCACTGGCCGTTCCCAGCTTGTGAATGAAGGTTCATGGGGGAAAGTTGGAGTTGCCCTTCGCGTTTGTATCACCGCAAGAACCAGGACCCACTTAGAAGTAACGTCGCGCAATCGACGACTTTGCGTTCACCGTCATCAGGGTCATCATGGCCGTTCTCTCATTACTCTTCCAGTTTTTGAAACGTTGGTTGTTTTTTATTTTTTACCCCCGCTTCGGCGCGAAACCAAATCCCGTCAATGAACGCGAGACACCCACAAGACATGCGTAACTTCCCTCGCCTACATATTCCAACCAACGAGAACCAACTTGAGTCGAGAGACCGTGGACACTGATCCTGCTGTCTCGTGTTGGCGTGAAACAGGACGATGAGCGTGGAAGTGAAGTGGAGGGCACGACATCTTGGACCGATGCCATCGTGACGTCGGCGCTCGGTGCCAGCTGGAGTACCGACATCATTATTCGCCGATCGTCAGTTGACGAGGGGCTTCGACGCTCAGGGCCCATGCGTTCATGCACCACACCCGGCAGGCCGGTGGTTTTCACGTGCCTTCCTTGCGGGTGCTGTTGTGCGTGGGTGCGACGTTTGCGCGTTGGCCTGGAAGGGGCGACAAGGTGGTCGTGCTATGTTCGTGGCCACAGACGTACCTGTGGAGAACAACTTGCCGACGACAGATGCGAACAAAAGGCGCAAGCGTTGCTTGACGGATGGGGGCAGTTGCAGCTCAAGCATGGCCAGGGCAAGGAGGGGAGAAACTTGTCGGCGGAGAGGGGGGAGGGGGGGATGCCGTCCGCGACAGGAGAGGGTGCTCGACCTCTAGCACTCGATGGGGGAGAAGCAAATGCGTGAAAGTAAGGAGGGGGCGTTGTGTATGCAAACAATTATCGGCGGGCGGGTAGCACATAGCGTGACCCATGGAGAGGGGGATTGGTAAGTTTGGTCCGGGTGAGGGTACGCCTACGCGGGACAGTGTACAATGTATGTGTCGAACGGTTTGGGGCGCGCCCTTCAAACCCTGCGGAAGATGCTGGCCATAGGACCTGCCTGTTGTGTTTTTTCTTTTATTTTTGACCTAGGTGCTGAAGGCAGTAGTAGAGGCGGTGGTGGCCCCGTGAGTGTCAATATTTTTTTCGCTTTTGGGTGGGTGTGGAGATGGACGATGTTTGTGTTGGCGTGATTTTCTTTCTTGGAGGGAGGTGTCTCTTGCAGTGTTTGGAAGTCGTAGGAACCAGCTGGGGGCAGAGTCGGGGTGCTGTATGTTCGGAAGAGCAACGCCGACTGTGGTCAAGCTGTACTGACCGACAAGAGCTGCACGATTTGGTTTTCATTTTCATGATTGTGATGGGTTCGGGTCTAAATGTCTTGCGTCTTTCTAGTTTTTTAATGGTGTCGACTCCCGGTACTACTCCCCCTTTCACGGTTTTTTGTGGGCGGGGTGACGCGTTCCTGCGGAGTGTGAAACGTCGCTGCCATGGGATTCATTTTTGCCTCTATGATACGCATTCATATGTTGTTGTTGAACAGAGGGTTCGGGCAATAAACGATATTGCCGTAGGCCTTGTATACCACGCTGCATGTCCCAAGACAGCACACGCCGCGGGGCTGAGGGAATTCGGTTGGTTTCGCCGTTGTCGCGAAAGCTGCGAGGGTCTCGTTGTGAGCAGTATTTCGAGCGCCGACGGAAACTCGCCTCCACGTGGAAAACACCTTCCCCACGTTGCGCGGGAGACAAATAACACAACCGGATTCTTGGGATCCGCCATACACGCGTCCTAAGATGCCGTGCCCTACCGTCGGTGTTGCAGGGGAGGGACCATTTGATCCCTTGTGCAGCGGACTTGTTTTTCCGAGGTTCCCGGGTTGGAAGTGAAAGGCAACGTTACTCATTCGTTGATTCCGGTCTTTTTTCTTTTTTTTAAGGGGTTTGAGGCCCCGTTGCATTCCGTCATCATTTCGGCGGTCGATTGTGCCCTTCTACTCGCTTTCTGTTCGCGTTGCCACACCCACCCTTGTATGGCGTATGACCTCTTTTGCACATGTTCGTACTTGCCAAGTGATTTATGTGTTGTCATCGTCAGGGAACGAGGATGACGGGGGCAATTGGGGTAGAAGGGAGGAATGATCTCGGATGTATCTACCATTTCTTACCTTGTTCGAGGGCCTGTGTTGATGGGGAAAGGGTGAATGTCGAGATTCTTCACGCGAAGAACGGGTGCGTTGAGAGCGTCCTTCTTGAATTTCCCCCTCGGGGCGATACTTCATTAGATTTATTATCCCTATCTAGCAGCAAAATACAAGGGGGTTGGTTGTTTTGCATCGGGAGCAGGTGCAATCGGGAGAGGTTGGTCGCAGTTGTTCGAGAGTCTGCAATCATATACACTATCGTTATTCGTGCCCATGGGTACCCATGGGCACACACGGCCACCAA